CTTCATCATACACTACTAAAATCCAAAAGTAGAGCGAATTCGAAAATTTGAGCCTTTCCGCCGTATGTTTGATTTTTACAGACAGTCGCTCTTAAGCTTAATGAAAACCCACTGCAAATTTAAAACACAAAATATATAGAATATCATCATAGTTGACGCTAGAAAAAAATAAGTTGTAATAATTCCTGTTGTACCACAGACTTACACCAGCTCTCCATTAGTTTMAGGATTTTAATTAAAAATATGTAACCCAGATGGAACATAACTTACAAGTACTCAAGAAACACTGATGGCCTGTTGGCACAAAATAATTATGCATGTAGAATACTTCGTAATTCCCGCTGGCATGTTTACTAAGCCTCGAGACCGCGGATGATCAACCTGTAACACAAAATGCACTCGAGGTATTTTGAGTAAACAARCCAGGGGTATCTTTTGAGCCAGTCAAAGACAAACTTGCGTGATTTCGAATTTTCGTTCGACACAGAAAAAACAAAAATSTCACCTGGTCTCCACACGTTGTCAATGAACCTCAGCTTTTCCTGTGGTGAAGCAGACCCAATTTCCTTGAAGGGAGAACAGTCTCCCCCCCCCTAAAAATCGGTTCGCCACGCATATTTGATACTATCTCGGTTGGAAACATAAAGAACGAAATAACTCTACCGGGAGAGTCAAGTCTTTTATAGTTTTGCGGTAGTTTCCCAAAGTAGTTTCCGATGTCGTTAGCCAATCAGAAACATCTCTGAGTAGTTTCCGAAACAATGCAAGCGCGTCTAGCCAATCAAAGAAGCAATTTCAGTAGTTTCTGGTCAAGACATTCCCAATCCAGCCCCACTCCCTGCTTACTAAATTGACATGGACCGTTTTCCGATCCATTTCCGATTGCTTTCCGAAGCGTTTTAGCAGGAACGATGACGCCACGCACTCCACGTGCCGGAAACCTAAAACCTTGCCCGGAAATGGTTAATTTGCCTGCCTATGACAGAAATGACAAGATGACTCATTTTTGTTTGTTTTCTCTTAAATTATAAATTGCAAGACAAGAAGATGAGTGGTTTCTAGTAGTTTCTACAGAGAAATAACAACCACATTCGTCTTTATATGATAATAAATTTTAGGTTTGAAAAAGTTTGAGAAGTTTCCGGAAATCATATAAACTACCCTGGATCCACCCATGCAACTTGAMATTTTTATTTTTGTTCGAAAATTTTGCTACAATTTAGGGTTAAAATTTGGGAGTCTGAGACCGAATTTTAAAAATTAGAGGCAAATATCCCGAATATTTTATCATGGGAAAAAAATTAATTTTATTCTAGTTATCAAGATAACTAGAATAATTAGAAAGATACCCTTGACAGCTTGAAATCTATTTCATAATTCTGTGCCGCAGTTCCATATTCATTGTTGTAACAAACCATAGTTAATAGAACTATGAACTATGAACAAACCATTCAAATGTGTTTCATGATTTTAGAGTTGTCCTTGACAGATTTGAGACAATTTATGTAACGATAGTGAAAATATTAAATGTTTATTAAACGAGAAGCAAATTTACTTTGAGTGTTCTTTTTTAACTCGTGGATACGCGAAGCGTAGAAAMGAGTTATTGTGAGGGGTCTGAATATGCAAATGTGTCACGGGCCATGACCTAGGTTCAGGTTTTCGGCACACCCTTGGAATTTTAGTTTTAGGCGTTAATCGTATTCAAGTTGCATCTTTCCTTGATTCTTTTGATATAAATAATCCGAAGATAAAACTAAGTGCGAGTTTGCGCATGTGCAGAGTGGGTCCTTATTGCTAGAAAGTGTCCCACATGAAACATCAGCAGTTCATTTCAAACGAACTCACCTCGTGCTCGAAAAGTCAAGAAAAACAAATCTGCTGACTCATCAAAACAACTGTCTCAAATAAATGCACAGRAAGACCAATATTAGTTACAATAGAAGTTTGGGCTCCTGCTAACAAGATGGCTGTCGGGCTGCCATTGTCAGCTATGATTCTTTCAGAGGATTTCTGGCAATAAATGCATTATACTGTGAAAAATGTTGATATTTCAGAGAATTTATTAGAAATAAAGGTAGGCCATAGGTAGGGCCATGGCCAAGGTCCAGGTTTCCGGCACACCCAAATTCCAATKAGTCAAACTTTTTTTTGCTGATGCGATAAAGTAAACAGAAACGCTTACGTACAATCGTCAACATATTTAGATCCTCTCAGAAGACTCGTAGTTAGAGCCGGATGCATCGAAAAAATAACTTTTCATTCGATTTCAAAACGAGAGTCATGGAGTCTTGAAGAAAGTTCGGCTAGTTTTGTCATCKAAATAAGCCGTTCAGAATAAAAAGTAGATAGATTGATTATCGGACATCACAAACAGCTGAGGCAATGTTCTTGTATCTAACTGCGAAGGTACAAATCTACCCAATAGATGTCGCTCGAGACTAACGAGAATTCGCTCCAATAAATAATTAGTAATTTACAGACTTGAATGAAGTCAAAAGAAATAGTATTCCTAAACGAATTTCTATAAAATATTCGCTTAGTTCACAGTGTAAATAAAGTGTTTCATGTGAACCTAAATCGATTGTAAGCGCCGTGATGACCCTACGTTTAACGCAACGTTTTTCCAATTCATCACAGAATTCGCCAATTCCAAAACAAAATAACAAAGAACTAAACAGAATAGGTGTTAAAAGGAAAATAAAAGGACGACTTATCATCTTACCAGCTAAATTGAGTGTTTGAAATATGAAATCGAGCGAAATACTTTGAAACCTTCGAATGTCAACAAGCATAAGGACACAGGGAGCCCAATCTCTGAAAAGTTCAACTAGTATCCACGAGTTCGCCAAAGGGCGGTTTGATTACTTAATATATCGATAATTGACTAGCGATTATCGTAAGCAAACGTTTTTTTWAAAGTAATCTACAATGCAAATGTTACCGTTGCAATTTCACGTTGCTCTTGTTATGTTAATTAGTATGAATTTGAGACATTAGAATTGTAGATTACGATCCGTTTGCTGATGTTGTTTATTGGTCAGCGATCGAAATATTCAGTATAAAAATGTCGAGTTGGCTTCTCGTCTTCATTTTATTACTGTAACAAAATATATTTTTTATTTTAGGTATCTGCAATTGTGGACCATACATTACTGTCTTTTCTAGTTTCTACTACGTCACCTCGTGTGAATAAAGTGAAACTCTTTGATTTACAATCTTTGCCAAGGAAATAAAAATAAGGGGCGGCAATAGTTGTGGTTGATTTTAAGAAACAATACCGCACACACCGTGAAACTACTATTTCTCTCCATAACTTCATAGTCCGTTTTATTTTCAAAACCCACTAAGGAAGTGGTCAATTATTCTAAGATCCTCGTTACGACGTAACTGAATAATGCACTTGTAATTAGTTTCAGTGCTAAGATCAAGGTGCATGAAAAATAGTTATGTTGTTTTTCGGTTGTGTTAGCTGTTTCGATTCCTCGCATTTAAAGAGTTAAAGTAGCTGTCCTGGGAAAAAAGCCAAAATCAAAATAAACATTTATTTTGCACAACCAATAGTTAGCAGCACAGCTGTTTCGATTCTATATTTTTTTTTACTACTTGCTACTAAATACTAGTACGTGACATTCGGTCATATTTTAACGTACAGAACAATTGACCATGGGCAGGGTAATTTTTCAGGTTACACTTACTGTTTGTTGTTTGGCTTTTGGCGCGAAAGGAAAATTGAACGGTRAGGATAACGATGCCATTGAACTTATTACATAAATTTCACTATTTTAGGCTGTGTTTTCACTAAAAATATTAACTTGCGTAAAATTCCTGGAGGTGTTTTAATCCGACGTCCACCTTTCAAGAATAACACTGTGATTAGCCCATTTATTTGGTAGGGCAACTTAAACCATCTTGCTAGGTAGTTTAACTTGCCTTATTTCCGGTGTCGCATTTAAGCTAATTTAAATTGTCCTGGTGAAAACACAGCCTTACTTACTGTATCTTGCGGTGAAATCGCTATTAGACTAATAATAATCATTTATTTCAATAATAATCGTTTGTGTCTTTTTGATCATATTACACTTACAAAACTGGAAAACATATCGTTGCATGGGTTAAGAAGAATCACCTAATATTTTTATTATTTAGTGTTATCARGTATTGTTAAGTAATACGTGACGAGGAAGCTAGAATATTTTACTACGTGCATTAATACTGAAGAGAAAGAAAACGAGCGCGCGTGCTGTGTGCAGTTATAATGTATTTTATAATTTTTTAATAACTCTTAGTTGTTATGATTTTAAACTTTTATTGAAATTAATGGAATATTTAAACCAAGTTTATTAGTAATGTCATGTTATGTATGAGTATGTATTTTTAAAACCAAAAATGTATTGATCAATAATATAGTAATTTTCTAAATTTTAATTTTTAATTCTATTATTGAGAATGTTATAGAAAATGTAAAGCCTTGT